TAAACTTTTTCAATAATTTTTTTATTCCATATTTGCTTACAAAAAAAATTAAAAGTTCAATGTACTCAATTATGATTTGATAAATATTCATTATGAACGCAACTATAATCTTGACTTATTTTTGTATTTTACAGATCATCAACTATGCAGATCAACAGAATGACAACTCCGCTGCTGCGCATCAATCGGTGAGTGAGTTTATAATTTGTCTTGATTGTTATTAAGATAATGGATCTATAAGATACATACTATAAAATTTAACACATTGTAGATCGTATATGATATTGATTTTATAAAAATTTTAGTTCGCACATTGCAAAATATTTTAAATTTAGTTAGTTTCTAGAAGAACAAATTATTTATTATCTTGATAAATTTAAAATTATATTTTTTGTCACACGCGTTATATATATTTTATATATATTTATCTGTTAACATGTTCCATGTCGCTCTGATTTTACATAACTTTCTATTTACGTCGTGAAATTTATGTATATGTTGTAAAAAATTATAATTATAGAAATTACTAAAAATAAAATGTAACATACACAAAATATGTTGTACATCATAAAAAGCTATAATAAATTTAAGAAATATAAAATATTTTATTTTAAACGGCCTGAATAGAAAATTTAGTGAGGCCACCAGTAAGCCACACGGCATGGAACATGTTAATAATACCACACAAGATTATTCGAAACACGTAAATTAACATTTCAAAAACAGGACATGTTGATTTATGTTTCCGGTTTGCAATGAGTTAAAAAATATATGAATTAAAGAGTATGTAAGTGTAGACAAGAACATTATATGAGGACTAGTTTGTCTCTTTGCAATATTTGGGATATTTTTCATTAATTTGAGAATGAAAAATCTTTTTACTTTTTATTTTATCCTCGTATATGTGAATACAATAAAAATAGGATAAATTTCAATACGAAATAAAGAAAATCATACAATGCAATATTATAAGCATAATGATATACAAGAATGTTATAGATAAAATATAACAAATATATAATGTCATAGATCCATTATTTTAAAATGGATGGGCTAGGATTTAGATTCGTTGAATATTTAACTCTGGAATATTTAATAAATGTTCTTTATAAATAAGAATTAAAGCAAGATATATTGAATTATTCAAAAAGTTTATAGTCTTTTTTATGACAAAATCAAAAACAATTTTTATATATTTATATGATTATTTATTTAGTAATATGTATAAACAAGTTGTTAAAGATGGCCAAATGTTGTCGAAAACAACGTACATATATTATTGAATAAAGATGGATTAAAATATAAAACAATTGTTTTTTATTTAGTCATAAAAATTGCTACAAATTTTCCGAATAACTTAATATATTAAAATTTTTGAAATACATTTGCGAATGTAAATATAAGTTAAAAATAAAAAGAATATGTTTTACATAAACGGGATAAAAATTGAAAATTTATGTTTTACATTTGAAATAATTTATTTAATAAAAGAGCGCATTTTTTGTTCGGTTTTTGTTTGGTTATTGATTTTGAAATATATTTGAAATATAGTCTTGCTATACGCTAATTTCTTCAGAATTTTTCCTAGCTTATCCATGCATCCGTGGTCCCATGGCTTAATTGATTCCATGGTCGAGCACGGAAATTCAAGATTCGTGGTCCCATCGATGATGGTCGAGCACGAATCTTGAAATAATGTTGATAACGATCGACCATCGAAACGGTCGACTATCAACACAAATTTCAGAACTCTGCGCTAAGCGTCTTATAAAAACTACCGCTCTTAAATTTTTTAATGTCGAGAGATACAATTTGCGTACTCGCCAACATTCACTTTTCTTCGGGCAACTTATGTATCCGGAAGCGATCCTATCAGCGCGATACACTCGCTTACGTGTGATAAGGCAGCGCCCTATACGACCACCTTGGAAAGGGGAACAGCAATGGAGAAATTATAGTCGAATATATAGTCGAATATATAGTCGAAATATATACGTGTATACACTTTCGTATGTGTGTGACAAGCGCACATTGTTAAGCAATAAAGCACATACGCGTTTGAATAGCAATGCGGTTATTGAAAAATTTCAACGACAATCTATTTAGATAAATTGCTTCCTAACCATTTAATATCCCCTTCGATGAGCGATAACACACTCATTACAAAAAAAGTCGAATTCTTATGCATGTCGTGCTTTTAGTACTTTTATTAATAAGAATCAATATCTATATAATATTTATTATTTTCAACAACAAAATATAATCGTAAAAACATGTAAAAATTGATCGCTTGGTTTGCAGTGACCCGGCATAACGGTGAAAGCAGAAATTTTAGGAACCTTTTCGGTTTTTTTTTTTTTACTTGTTTTTTACTTTTTTTTTACTTTGCGCTTGGGGCGCGTGAGTCACTTCCAGGGGCGCTTAAGACGGTCGCAACGCCTCCGATTGCATGCATATATTTTACTGCGCGATTATTGATTATTATATATAAATTAATTATAAAATATGCAAACGTGTGTGAAGTTAGCGTATCATATTTTGACATCGCATGAAAAAACGACAGTTCTGCTCGCATACACTATAGTTCTACAGTTCTAGATAGTTTTTAACAATAGTTCTATCGAATTACGCTAAAAAAACAAAAAATAAAATTTCAAGAAATGAAATGCTAACTTCCCGTCTCACCTTCCAGCATCTCACCGGATTTCAAACGTATGAGCCATAAAGTACAAGTATTCAAAGAGTTCTACCGTTTCAACCCATCATATCAATAGTTCTGGTCATAAGAACAATAAAAAAAAATTCTAGTCATTATTAAAAGCATTTCACGCACTGAAATGTAATATGCTAGTGTCACTAGCAATAATGTAAATGATACTAGGGACTGGGAACTATGATTCTATGCTCGTACAAACCCAGAACTATCGCTAGTAACGCTAGCATATCATATTTAGGCACTTTTGGCGGAAATAATAATTATAAATAAATAGTTAAATGATTGTTTCTGGATAGAACTGTAATGTAAATAATACTAGGGACTGGGAACTATGATTCTATGCTCGTACAAACCCAGAACTATCGCTAGTGACGCTAGCATATTACATTTCAGCGCGTGAAATGCTTTTAATAATGACTAGAATTTTTTTTTATTGTTCTTATGACCAGAACTATTGATACAATGGGTTGAAACGGTAGAATTCTTTGAATACTCGTACTTTATGGCTCATACGTTCGAAATCCGGTGAGATGCTGGAAGGTGAGACGGGAAGTTAGCATCTCATTTCTTGAAATTTTATTTGTTTGTTTTTTTGGCGTAATTCGATAGAACTATTGTTAAAAACTATCTAGAACTGTAGAACTATAGTGTATGCAAGCAGAACTGTCGTTTTTTCATGCGATGTCAAAATATGATATGCTAACTTCACACACGTAATATGCAATACAAGGAGAATATGGGGTGATGGAATTTGTTTATGAAATAAGTATAACTTCATCTTTCGATTATCCAATACAAATAGATTTTATCATTGTGCTTCATGGATAATAGATAATGGAACTTACAAGTTGCATATTGTTTTTTTTTTTCAATAAGATACACATGTAAGTTATTATATAAATGATGTGTTCGGGTCTATATAACGCACAAAAATTAATGATTTCGGTAGAATTTGTTTACATTGCACATACAGCGATTGATCGAGTTGAATGAACTTGTGATAACATTAAAATTGATAATTTACTTAAGACGCTTCGATCTTTTATCTGATTGTTAAGCTAACGATCTTTTGATCGCTATTTTAAATTGTATTAATGGACTGCACCTTTTATCATCTCTATTAAAGCAAGAATAATCAAAGAATAGCACACGTTGCACTTCGCGTTTGTTGCCAGGGATACACTTTAATTGTTATAAAGTGCCGTACATGACTAGTTAGATTCTAGATATATAATATATATATATATATATATATATATATATATATATATATATATATATATATATATATATATATATATATACACACGGCTACTGTGATTAACATGTATATTTTTATGATTTGTCCCTTAATTGTCGTTTTTATGATACAAATATTTCCTAGATCGTTGTACATCGTTACGTTACCGATCCGCGCTTATGCGAAATTTACTTACATCTTTTCGATTGTTGTCTTACGACTAAGTAAAATATAGATGTATTATAAATACTTGTATTTTTATATATATATTTTTTTTCGTTTATATATAGTCTACTTAAATCGAGTTTGTTTAAGCTTTATTACTCATAGACAATCTGCTTGATATTTACAGAGATTAGATACAAAATTATAAACAGTTCTTAGTACAAAATAATTTTATGACTATAACGATCAAGGTTCGATAGCGTAGAACAGGCATGGGCAACCCACCGTGGCCGGTGGTCAGTTTCGTTGCACTTTTCTTCTTTTTGTAAGAGATCGAATAATTTTTCGAATCAATCTCGAAAGAGTTTTGTCTATCAGGTAATTTTTGGGAAGGAAATATTCAAAATTATAATGCAAAACGCGTGGCCGTAGTCGAGTGATATGGTTGTGTGTGTGCGTTGCCCCTACCTAGATAGAAGATATAACTAGATGAGCTCTCCCCAGTTTTTTTCCCACGATTACCTGTAGACTCCTCGCAATTCCACCTTAGAGGTCAACAATCAGGTATATCGAAATCATATTTCGCATATGTTTACATGAAAAAAATTTATATAATTGTATATTGATCTCATTGCCATGATTTTTAATTATGATTTATTAATATCACTTTGTACAATGCAGTTATTGTGTAATTTTATATGAAATAATTTCAAAAATTTCGAAATTTAAACAAGACAATCGTATAGTATATGCGAATCTATAATACTAATTATGATATTAATGATATTAACATGTTTTCAATGGAGGTATAATGTTCTTGTCTTGAAAACAAAATTATTGGAAATGCAAAACCAATGCATCTTCAGTGTGTTAGCATATTATTTGGTTGTTTTTTATATAAAAAACGTAATATTTTTTTCCGCATTAATAAAATTATATTTGTTTCTGATTAGGCAAAAATCAAGATTATTTTTTTATAAGGATTATAGGCATGCCTTTTTTAAAAATAATTATAAAATGCCAATTCTTTTACTTATAACTGTTTTTCAAGAATGTCGTGAAATTGATGCTAAATATTTTCTAAATTCCGAGGCAAGCGTGATTGTCGATCAAACGCGTTGAAAAATATATATCGAAGAGGACTCAGAAATATGTGACATGATAAGGGTTTAAAGATATCGTTGTAATTAAAATTGAGCTTGTGGACGCATAAGGCTTTTGAAAAATAAAGTTTCGTACTGAAATCTAGCGTGTTCATATGTTGCAGTGCTCGAACAAAATATCAGATGACTACTTGGTTCTGACATGTTGCGGCTCTGAACAGTTATCTCGGTGATGCCATTGGCAGAGCTCGAATTGTTCATGAAGGATATAATTAACCACCATTGGAGAAAGGGCACGCTAGGTAGAAGTAAGTTTATCTAGGTTATAATAGCGAATCTTTACATAGGGAAAGGATTACGTGTGCCTTGTTTTACTTCATATTGTTATCCTATTTTACTAATATCCTATTTTACTAACTGATTTGCAATAAATTATGGGGCAGTTGCACTTTGGACTTATGATATATGACGAAGCTGATGGATATCCTCACATTTCACACAAATGTTTGTTAAGAGAATAAATGAAATACTACTTTATCCGAGTTCACCGTAATTTATAACAAGAACAAAGTATACCGGAATAATCCTTTCGCTATAAAGATTATCGAATTGATAGGTACACGTAGGTACGTAGAAATATACTAAATTATCACATGAGTAGACAAGTAAGTTACTCGTTAGCAGTAAGGGGCAACAATATAGCCAAAGGCAGCGTTATGCTTATATTGGCGAATCTAAACGCAACTACAATTCATTCTCTATTATATCGTCTAGAAGTAATGGCAGTCTGCTTCGGACTAAAAAATATACAGACAATATTATTGTTTCAACTCAGTCACAACCGGTGCGAAAAATCGATTGGCCAAAGTTTCGCGATGGCACGAAATTATATGTCTGTTGATCTGGTACTTATGCAAAATGTAAATTACGCATTTAGTTACACTTAGCGGCATAGTCGATCGGCTATTACTATTTACTTCTGGCAAGATCAAGAATCGGCCTATTTCTATTTACTTCTCCCTCTCTCCCTCTCTTTCTCTCGTGATTCATTGCGCGAATTCGCATTGATCGTGATTTCCATTCACTTGCCTCAGATATTTCGATCCCAGTGATAGAAGCAATTCCAGTTACGTTTAAATTCAACGCGCGTATTTAACTACATATGGCTATGCCTTTCCGTATCATCTACTCCTTACGCGGTATTACGTTAATTTATATAAATAGTATTTTTTAATGATATAACGATAACATCGCCTATCCGCTAAATATCGCATAAGTTATAATAGTATCCATCTGGTATATAAATACGCGGAACTTAAATTCGATAGAAATGATTGGAATCGAGAGTACGGTGAAAATGATGACGCGCGATAAGCGAGTTTATTGTTAACTTCAAAGTATTTAAAACTGATTACGATTACCCTCTGTCTCCCGCGTTTTCTCCCTTTCTTTTCTTTTATAAGAAAGAACATTTCGCGATATGTCGAATTTTTCTCAACTTATTATCTCGAACTACGAACATCTTATCGAGAGAAGTTAAATAATTTCTATACGTTTTCACATCGATGCCAAATCACAAGCGAACGTATAACGCTATCTCGGAGACAATTCGATTTTCTCTCGTCCGCCTGATTTTATCCATCACTGTCGAAAAATACAATGATAACGTTCCTTACTACGAGTACGCCTATATGTACAATATTCTAATTTCATTGATCCCGCCTATCATATAAAGTTACAATTATGATGTGTCATATTCGTGATACGTAGTCTATTACCGTCCTCCAATGCACAAAGAATAGGGCAAAACCTTATCCTTCGCCTACTTGCGCGCTTACGACTTACGATATCTCTCTAATTAAGACATTAACGAATTCCATCCACGTACAAACTGTTAATTGTTGATTGTAATAGTGACATCATTCGGGTAAATATTCATTACCGAGAAATCTTTACAGTCATTTAACTGCCTTCAAAGCTATTTAGCGATGATTTACGGTATGTTACATTCCACACAGATTCTATGCTCAGATAGAAATAAAAAATTAGAAAGATCAATTTCCTCGCGATCGGCTAACGTCGTTAACAATACGCGACAATCGCTTCGTCGTTTCGCGATATGTCTCGTGACGATAAAGAATTTCGTGATTGTGCTAAATTACATGTAGATTCGTCTCATAAATACATCCGGGGTATCCGGACGATACAATATATGTACGTTCAAAGAGAGTAAAATAGAGAGCGTGACAAAGAGAAGGGGGGAGACCACACAGGCGCCCGCACATTCACGAATACACTCGGTTATAATGCCTTAAGATTAACTCGAACAGCATCTAATATCGTACCCGCTATATTGCCGTACGTCGTTGTGATTCACATTTTTCATTGAATCCTCAACCGAAATGATATAATCCCGAAGGAACCTTAATTATCCTTTCGTAGTAACGATCTTTCCTATTCGCCCGCGCGATAATTGGTACACTCATTCGTGTAGGAATGTTCACAGCTGCGTTACAGTTACGTGACATTGCTCCTAGTTTTTTTTTTTTCGACGAGAGAACAATCCTCTTCTCGCGATCTCACAAACGTCCGTCTCCCTCAATAGCGAAGGTTTTTCGCAGAGCGGCTATCTACGACGGGCAGCTTTTACCGTATGCCAACGTCCGATTGTCATATTCATAGATTCGTGTCTGTCCTTGCCTTCCTTCACGAGAAAGAAGTCCTGCTTCTGGTATAGATAGTCGCGCGACATTTGTCGCTTCAAATCGATATGCATCATGCTCGCTACTGAGAATTTCACGGAGATCAGGTGCACGATAACCCCCGATATTACGACGAATTCCGATATCGCGAGTCTTCTCGAGATCACACACATTTACCTTTCTATCTATTCTAACTTTATTACCTGTCCGTTATTACTCGTTGCTCGCAAAAAAAGTATATGTATGTCGAGACAAAATTGAAGGACGATCGATCTCTGTCGTGAAGTTCGTATTCCAATCTCGCTTCGTTGACAGACAATGAAATTCCCTCGTACTTATCATTTCGATGTCACGATACATTTGTCCCCCCGTCATGCTTTCGCCGTCTTTCCTCATTAGCTGGTTCTTCTTTCTCTTTCCCTCTCACTCGACAGTTATTCGCTCGTCCTTGCTGATCCTCGAATGAGGACGCTGCCCGTCATCGCACACTCGTCCAGCCGTTTTAGAACCGAGCTTGTTCTGATTCGCGGGCTGACTATTAAGAACGTCGTGCTTGCCGAAGCTCGGGGCTCAATATCAGGACGTTGGAGCGTATCCAAGATTTTTCCGCTGCAGAAAGAGGGATATTTCACGGAAAGTCGGTCTTTCGTTTTCCTCTCGTCGCCAGCACTCGAGCATCAGATCGTATATGTCCTTGGAGGAAGCGGTGGGTCGCGGCAGATAGTCAAAGCCGCTTCTGGAATCCTCCTTGCAGCCGTCCTCGGGATTGGCGTTGTTGCAATCAGCGGTATGATACAGCTGTCGCAGACTCTGCACCACATCCTCGTTGGACAGGTGCTCGTAAGGGACGCGTCTGCCGAGGTTCAGGATCTCCCATAGAGTGACTGCAAAAGCCCACACGTCGCTCTTGGTCGTGTACTTGCCCTGGAAAGCAGACGCAATTTACATTAGTTTAGCTTTCTCGACGTTTGCCTTCGAGTTTCTTGTTCGAAATAAAATGTCGATCCGATTTGTCGTCAAATAATTGGCCACGCAATTTACCAGAAATATTGACTCCCAGGCCATCCATCGTACCGGCAACGGCATAGCTCCATCAACTTTGTAATAATCGCAGGCGTACAGTTCATTGTCCGTGCCGAAGTCGGAGATTTTGATATGATAAGCCTTGCCGACCAAACAGTTTCTGTAAAAAAAAAACAATAATGATGTATAGAAAAATTAGCGACTGCTTTATCGTGTTGCGAAACTGCATTTTTTAATATCTATTTTTGTCGTATTTATTTGACAATTTCTGCAAATCGTCGATACGCCAAATGCCCGCAATAGCTCGAATCGAATACTCGGAATGTAATGCTCGGACTTTAAGATAGCTCGGGTATCTCTGGACACTGAATAGCGAGTTACGTAGCAGTTTATGCGCGCTATCGGCTGGATTGAATACTTTTCCGATTCGCGGCTCGCCTGAAACGAAAGAGACGCAGTCAGATTGATCTCTCATCGGTACGTGGAGCGCATAGCGCGGCCGCCAATCTGCATACGCGTACCGCATTCTGTGCATGGCAGTCAACCGGAAGCGAGAATGGTTGTCTACATGTAACATTCGCAATTGTGGTTGAGCTATATTTTTTACACATACAGGGATGTGCAATCGTATTTCGACGCGTGAGTAAACTTTGTCTGTATTCAGCAACAATCGTTGTAAAGCGATTCCTCGAAGAGGACGGCAATCCAAATATTAAGAACATTTATTCGACGGTAGTTACGGAAATAGCATATTTTAATCTCGTTATTACGATATACGGATATGTTTATTCAATCTTCGCGAGTGCATTTGATATTTCATCTGCTTATCCTTTGAGCGGGTTTAACGGCAGATACGCCCGAGCATTCCTTGAGAACTTAGAGAGATGGATAAGCATTCATGTAACTTTGCTCAAAGCTGCAAACGTTGACCAGTTTGCTTTAAAGACGAACTAATCTTCGCTATTTGAGAGACGACCAGCCAAACGTTATCCGAGAAGCAAGGGTATGGAATAGATAGAATCAATTAATTTCGCCGGTGGAACAAAGCTCCAATTTGGCGGCAGAACCTGGTTAATTAGGGGCGCTTTATCGATCATTGCTATTGGCTACTTCGCCATCGGGCTATTGCGTCGATGGGGTTGACCCCCGGTCCTCCCTATGTTGCAGAGTACGACAGTAATGCAATAAGCCGCGTTCACGCCTCGCATTGAAGCTGTTGTAGTATAAATCAGATGCGATGATCCCAGCTTCATAATATGGTGGTTAGAGCTTTGCACGCTCTCATTAATTTCAAAAATAATATAATAATTTGAAATACGTGGCATGCGAAACATAAATCGGTCGAAAATCTGTACACTAATTTCGTAACAGAATATTATAAGATATCAAATTCCAGTGGGATTAATTTTCATTAATGATATATTAAATTATACGTATATACCTATTCTTTTTTGTAATATTTGTAATAGATATTTTTGTATGATTTTTTTAACGAATATTTTTGGAACATTAAAGATTTTAAAAAATAGCTTGATTTAGAGATTTACAGATATTGATGCGTTAAAAAAAAAATATTCTTGTAAGTAATTTGCGTATTATTTCTATCTCAAACTTAATCGTAACTATAAAACTATGAGCTATATTATGAGAGATATTATTACTGATACAGTATTTAGGTCATTAATTTATTTGTAATTTATCTATTAATGCTGTTAAATCACGTATAAATTTGTGTAATTAATAACGTATGAATAATGACATAATAGCATACACATATAAACGTAATTTCTTTGTATTAAAACTAATATAAAAGGATTTTAATCTAAAATTACGGAAATGAGGATATTGACAACAATATAGTAGATGCTTCTTTACAAAAATGTGAAAAAAAAAGATCGTAAAAGAAAAGACGAGTCGAAATCACACTGTAAGAATATCGCGAAAGGCCTTTTTTGCATCTTTAATCGAAATCGGAACAAAGGCAGGCTTTCTTGACGGAAAGTGAAATGTCTGCAACCCGCGACAAGTTCTTTGGTGGATAAGGAGAATCACCTCTGTCATTGTGCAAGTTGCAAGTTGAAGTTAAACTCAGAATCACTTGGCCATTTGACACAAGCTCCCCTATTGTCGATAGGAACAAGAACGTTAAGTGTACTTGGCCGATTGGCGCGGCTGTATAATTGAAGTCGAAATTCCAGTATATTGACGTTGAAGTCGGACATTCGGCCAAGTTAGATTGAAACTTGAATATTGGATATGCTCGTTGTAAAAGAAACAAACGGCTTCGATCGGAGAAAAAGCAGGAGTACGGCGAGGAAGTGAGCGTACGGGAAAAGCCCGTTCTTTGAATCTTTAACCAGTTATTCGAACACGTAAGCTCTTGTCAGCGGAGAATAAAGTCCTTGCATGCGGTCTTCGGTATCCTTGAGGGCGGATAAGGAGGATCGCGGTCTTCTCTATTGCTTTAAGTTCCATTCCAGATCCAATGTTGGGATCAGCGAGATCGGATGATTATTATTACGGGTTAAGCATACATGTCGAAAGTAATCTTTCAGTGTTGAAGTTTGTTTGATTACACTTGAGAAAGAAAGAGCTTTATTACATGAACAAAAGAACTTATGGATTCTTTAACAAAATTTCGAGCGAAGCCTTCCACTTGCAAGACAACGCGATGTTCTTATTGGATTTTCTTATTGAACTTTTATCAATTTTCAATTTTTAATGTTACGAAGAGAGGTCCTTATTTAGATTTAGATCCTTACCAGTAAATATTATCGAAATGAAATTTCTAAATTGCAAAAGTATAATCACCATAAAATATTCCGAATATAAGAATCGATAGTGGAAGAAATACTAGATCCAATATTAAGTACTATCTACACTTGTTGCCACAAGAAAAACGAAGGAAAACTCGCCGGGTGCATTTGCGATTCAAAATAGGATGAAGGAAATCTCTTTTACCGGAATACGAAATACTCGCATGCGGGAATACAGAATGCAGGCTTTTGCTGTTCCTGCTCCTTTAGACATACGTTTATTCGCGGTGCACTCGCTCCATCCGTCTTCAATATCGCCATTAACAAAATAATATTATCAGCGTTATCGGCGCGGATCGTCTGTAATGACTCGTGAGATTTTATTTTCACTCGCGCGCACAACATCTATCCTTATATTTCTTTCGATTGGACAAATACACTCTCGCACGTACACGCGAATCCACCGCCCTTTCCATCTTTAAAGCATTACATACTGCTATCGATCTTCTCATTTGTTCGTATTCTTTTTCCATCCGAACCAATTGAATTACATTACCGTTTGATCAGCAATCGATCCAGTCCTTCTTTTTCACTTGGCTCGCTTCCGACAATGACTCTATAGCTATATCGTGCACTCGCGAATGAAATAAGAGGCCGCGATGGATTGGCAGTTTGTCTCGGGTGAAGAGTTCTCGCTGCAGCGAGAACATCCACTCGATACCCAATTCTGTTTAAGCCTCATAGTTCAGAATTCTCCAACGGATTCTATTTAAATGAATAAAAATGTTTCGGTTCGTTCGTTTCGCGACAGATAAATCGTGTGCAAAGGCTTGGCCGGTGGAAAGGGTAAAAATACATTTCCAAAGTATCGCATACGCGCCATTGATATCCGCAGTGTCCATTTCTCTTTTGACGCCGCCAGTCACGAAGAATTTATGCCCCACGGTGGAATTCCCATACGGTCGCGTATTTCACTGAAAATCGTCGGGTTCGTCACGCTGACGTGTGCCATCAAAGTGGAAGTTCAGCGGTGCCATTAAATTCTGATTAAATTTTGATTAAATCCTGGCGCCTGCACAAAAGGCATCGATCTATTTGCAACGCGATCGGATCGCATCGCGCTTTTTTTCCTCACAAAAGCACAGAGGAAGATAACGCGTCGCGGTTTTGATGCGAGTGTCATTAAAATTTTCTAAAGCTTCGCGTGTAGCTTGCTAAAAATTTCACCAAAGGATTATGGCCGTTGCAATCATAAACGCGGACATTCCACACATTTCCTCGAATATCCTTGAACATATTTTAAAATTTCTAGCGCCATTAGTATTCCGTCGTCGAAATGTGAACCGCGTAAATTAGATATCTTGTTTTGAGTATCAGCGGCGCGCAGTAATTCTCAATCATCCTGCCAAACTTTACAAGTTGGAAACAATTCATATAACAACGCTGAATTTTCCATATATATTGAGTTATTTATATCGAATATTCTCTTGTATTTGAAATTTGCATTTCATTCATTTAATTGTGTGTGATGATAAAACGCGTGAAATGAGGAGACGAAGATGACAGAGAAGTAGCTGTGGCGATACTTATGGAGATATTTCTGCAATCGACGGGTCAAATCGTGTCAAAAGCCCTTAGGAATGCTGACAGGACCGATATCGCGAAACTTCGCAGGAAGTATCTCTCGCTATAGCGTTAAGATTTACGAGCGAGCGTTTGAGAGACACTGTCCAGCCGGAAACTAGGTCCCACGTGCTATGAGAGCTCAGCGGTTTGTGCGAATGTGCGCGCGCGCGTGTATACGGAAGATATACATATATGCACATATGTGCATCTAAACGTTCTATCGATTCGGCGAGATGGCCATTGCATTTCAATAACAGCCACGTAGATGGACTTCGTTCTATATACGGGGTGTACTTTGTATTCGTAAACCGCCGGTCACTGGTCACTGTATACGTTATATGGCTTGAAGATCATTATGGAGATTTATCGGCGAAAGCAATATTCAACGTTCGGAGCTTAAGTGGAGCTTTACAGAAAAAAGCACGTGTACTTTGAAAAAAAAAATATAAAAGGTTGTGGAAACATCGCGGTAAAATGACGCAGTTTTTAGTATCAACTTAAAAATTACGACGTTTATGATATCAGTTTGATATAATATACATTTGCATTTGGGGAATATTTTGTATTTATTTTATTAATTTTATCATATAATTTGTTGTATTAGTTAATAAAATTTATGAAAAATATTGCGCATCTTTCTATCAGCATTTTTCACTCGATAAAAATTCATGGAAAATAAGTATCTTAATTGACAAATTGCAGCATTAATATTTTATTACTAATGCAAAATATTTAATTTTTAATAACTATGCTTTTAACGAAAGACACATTTTTATCAAAACCTATTAAAAATGTGTGCGGTTAGACGAAAGCTGACAGCCCTCTCGCAATAATCTCGAATTATACTTATCATCAATAATGTATATGAAAAATGGGAAACTTTTTAGCCGAGTTTACTGCTTGAAAGGAAAATCGATCGCGTATATGATGAATATAAGGCCATTACGGTGGATTGAGAAAGGTACCTATTGTGCGTTCGAAGTCACGCGTTTTGGGGTTGTCGCTGTGAAAAGCCCTGAGCAATCATTGTGCGAGTGGATTTTGCGAGGAACGCAACGTCAGAAGTTGATCTAGATAGTTATGACATTTGAATGCGAGAAAAAAAGAAGAAAATAAAACGCTGAAATTTTCTGTCGTCGATACGTTGAAGCCGGTATACCGCTATTCACCGTGAAAACTAGCTGCTTGCTCTTCTCGCTGCATTCCTCGCGACGATTCACTAACAAATCGTTGATTTCCCATGCGGTTCCTGGCTCCGTTTGTTTTGGGGCTTATGGAAATGCACTGCGGGGGTGGTATAATTCAATTTCATCCTGAGAGTGTAACAGGGGGAATCGATATCGGCGCTCCTGTTTTAACGGGGTGCATCGAGTGCTCCCGACGCAGTAAAATCCTCCCCATTCGTACGTACACGTTCCCGGCTACAACCGCACACCGCGAGAACATCTCTGTCAGTTATTAGACTGTGCCAATTAAAGCGGACGGCACAATCTCAAACAAGATTGTAGGGCAAGTTGAAAGATAATCTCGATTTGCGACGGTTTAAAGTCGATAGAGCGAACGGAGTCCTGTTAGCCGGTGAAGCGTAAAACGCGACAGGGGGGAAAAATACGTCCGGCGGATGAGTGAGTTCGCATCGAAAACTAAATCAAGCGGATTCGTTTATTCCCTTTCCGCAATAACGTGAAAACCGTGCCGCGACATTCACGCTGCGACTCTTTCGTACGTAGGTGTATCGCGACCGACTTTTTCAAATTATTTTTCAATAAATTGCGCGGCGGAATTGCGTTTTTCAAGCTGTTTCCGCGACATGAGATCATCCCCGGCTGTGCCGGGAATTATAACTCCCTCTGCATATTGTCGTCGCCGCGAAAGCGTTGTAATTTTCTTCGCGCCGCGTCGACCAAGAAGATTCCCTTGTAATCTCACATCTCCTCGGCATGCATCGATGCACTCACACGAGAAAAGAGCTTCGTATTCACACTGGTATTCAAATCTCTGACGCATTCTCCATTCTCATTAAAGAATTATGATCTGCGGAAATACATTGTCGTTTCTACATTAAATATGTAATATAAAATGTAAGATAGCGTAAGAAGTCATTTGGATTTTAAGTAAATATTAACAATTAATTCAACTAAATGTGGCTGTTTGGCCACAAGTTTGATTTGTTTGATGCACAAAATCGCGCACAACGCAAACTTCCAAGTTTCTCGTTCCAATGAGAGTCGGACGTAGTGTTTGGATTTACAGAATGCCGGTCAAGGATGATAAAGGCTCACTCATAGATATAAGTTTATCCTCGGGAGATGACAGTGTAAATCCGCAAGAGATTCGTTTGAGCAAAGTCCTGTGTTTGTACTCACCTAGTAGCCAGATCCCGATGAACGAAGTTCAGGTTCTCCAGATACCGCATGCCCGACGCGATCTGCGCCGCCATGTAGATGAGACAGTTGAAACTGAAACGACGACGGAGCGGCGTGAGTTTCCTGCGACGAAGTTAAGGTATTCGCACTCGCGAATCCTCCCGACCGCCGTCGCCTCAGAGGGATTCCTTCGAGGTGTAGGTCGACGAGAGAAACGCAGGAGGGAGGCTGTGCGTCGCTCACGATTAATAAACGTGTCAAACTCTCGCGCCGGAGAAACTTATTGCGTGTTAACTCCAACGAGACGGCAGTTCGTCGGAAATGAAACCGAGCCCCGGCTCGTTAGAGACGATTGCGGCACTTCGGGAGCCGTAATCTCGAATACTTTAAGCCCGCTAACAGCGGTGCATCGTAATATGCCGTGGTCATATCTATATTGCGACACTACAATGGGCGAGCTGTCGAATAATGTCGGGCCAATGAAGGGTTAAATTCGCAGGATTAGATAATGCAGTCGGCTGCCTTGTAAAAGAATCGCGAGTATTGCTGTATGGAGATACCACTACATACATTGCTTTTGAGACGGTTTTTAACGATCTCGATATTATCTCTGAATTAAAATGTTTACTTTTTCGGAGCTACGAGTTTTGACGTTATCACATTTTTTTGAATGCTTCACATTTCGCATGTAAATATCGTAAATACCGATATCAAAAAATTATTGAAAACATTCCGCACTGATTACTAGCATTTCTTTATTAAATGAGATTTCAGAAATATTAGCAGTCTCAATATGCAAAATTAAAAAGCCGATGCCGCCACTTAACGTGTTAAAGCAGCACGGTAGTCGACTTATCTATACTGCGCGGAACTTATCGTCGAGTATATATTTACCAATCTTCTTACCGTTGCTAAGAAATCCAGGATTTAGTGTATATATATGTGTGTAAAGTGAAATTTATAATACCTATCATTGCTCTGGCAATTACCGTAAACATGAGATCGTTTTTTCAAAACTTTTGAAAGCAAGCGAATTAATCGTCGCGACATAAATATTTAATAATTACAATTCATTATTGAATTAATCAAAAGAGCTAATTCTTAAATATTGTTATTTATAATTTTGATAAATATTTAACTGTGTTCAGGGAACATTTTGTTCAAAAGTCTTTATGTTGCACCAGTCAAGTGTATTTTTTTAATAAAGCAATATTGCTTTTAAGCTCACACAGTTATGGGCTCGGTGACTTTTTGGCAATTTTATTTGCGAAAGGCATTCTAAATTGATATTTTTTTCGAAGATACCGTATTGCTTTTATTTGGGAACGTTCAATTTCCGCCGCGGTAGTTACACGAAACATCCTGCAACGCGTGCCATTTTTTTTTTTTGGGAAAACGACAGCGAATGTTTTAATAAACACTGCTCTTTCGCTATATCAATAAAATAACAAGCGAAAAAATAATTGATGGCGATATATTGTATTGTATTTTTAAAAATAAAAAAAAATAGAAATTTAATGACTTTTACATTTTTTCAAGCGTAATTTGCTTCAAATTCACCAACTAATGCTTAAAAGTACGATATTAATTGCTATTAATATTGTGCTTTTAAACGTTGGCAATATTAATGACAGTTTTGAGAGAAATTGGCTGTATACTGATTGTGAGAGAATCGTGTCGATTCTTGATTAATTTGCCTGACAATTAATGTCAGAATGCCTCGTTAGAAAGTTACCTGAGTGTCTTGACACCAATCGGCATGGAATGCGCGTCCTCGGCTGTGATATGCGTCTTGAGGAACTGACAGAGATCTCCGTGTTCTAGGTATTCCATCACGACGCAGTACGGTTCCTCTCGATGACAGGCGCCTAGGACTCGGGCGATATTGCGATCTTCCAGAGCAGCCAGAATTCTTACGTCTCTTTGGAAGTCCAACCTGTTTTGGGATCAGCCCGGTTCATCGGTGAGTTATATAATTAATTTTGAAGCATGCGAGAACATTCTAGTACGAGGAAAATTTCATTATGTTTTCCATTTTGTGTCAATTATTGAACATACTATTAATGTAACAATTATCACATGGTAATTATGAACTACCATACATAGTATCTCGTTCCAAACATTTCGTCAGATTTTTAAAAACTAATTTAAAAAAATGTAGAAATAACGAGCGGAATGCGTATAAAGTATCAGGACAACGAAAAGTAAATTTGATATCGTTGGAAAATAACAAGAGTCATCGATGTCCATCTCACATAATGACTCTCGTATCGCGTTGCGCTCTTTCTGCACCGTGATCCCGACGCTCGTACAATGTTAACGACTATGGTTGCCGTCCGGTACGTTGGGTCGCAACGTACTTCCGGATAAGGGAAGTACTTTCCATCGTGGGGCACATATGCACGTCGCTCGACGCAGCATCGTTACTCCGGGCTTACTTACGGATCGACTTGATAATGGCACTCTCGCGTGATAGCTTAATGCGGCCGTTAACAAAATTGCGACGTCCCGCGTATCGATTCCCCGTAAACTGCGAATCCCGCTGGTGCGCGCGATCCGGGCCCACGGGCGCGCAAAAGGTACGGCTCTGCCGTTGGCTACTATGCAAAATAGTCTGTTCAACATTGCCGTCGGCCCCAAGGCGGGTTAATGACGCCGCATTAGCCGAAAGTTGGTATTCGCGGTTCAATTTCCCTTCTCTTGTGCCGCCGGCATCGGCAGTTATGCAGGAACATTTCCGATTCCGCGATGGTGGCGTTTACGGTGCCGCGAACGCATACGTGATGTCAGATCTGCGATTTTACACGTCAACTCCAATTTCGGGTGATAATCGACAGCTAACGCGAGCATTTCAATCTTTACGACGGCGATCTTTAGTAGTAGACATAAATATGCAAACAGATTAACAGGCAATTAAAATAAACTTCAGGAACGTAAAGTATCTAAAATAAAAAAAAGTTATATTTAATTATAATTTTTTAGTTCGATTAAATAAGATTAAAATTTGCGCGTAAAAAATGAACACTTTTTAATGTTTCGTAACAAAATTAACATACTGCCATGTAAGACGACGAGATTTTATCATCACGATTTTCGGTAGGTCGGTAGCATTTACGAGGGTGATCCATCTGTCGTCTGTCCGCTGCGAATGGATGTGCAGTTGAACCGACGCGTTATTTTTAATAAAGTGTCAGCGCAGGTCGCACGCTGCGACATGCGATACCGAGCGTGACGCATAAAATATTCCTTATCTGCCGTCAGCACGGCCTCCTCCGATGCGGCCGAACGAGCGGCTACACGAGCCAGCATCACCCGTTGTACTTTTATCATTTATAATCGGACGAAGGTCCTTCGCAGTCGCGCTCTGCTTTGCACCAATGCGTAGGAAGGCATTTCGAATCATAATGTAGGCAATCGAGATATGACGGCGATAATCAATCAGAAATTTATCTCAAAGATGCAATCGCGAAGCTAAAAATTAATTCTGCACGGTAAAACTGTAATTAAAATTAAAATAATAAGTGCTGAGAACTGACGCGGAAAAGGCCACCCTTTGTCTTTCGCGCGGGTTGCAACGTAAGAATGCGGGCTTGCGGTTTCCGGACGCCGCAACCGTTCGCGTCTCGACGCTGGGGGAGAACGCGCCGACGTCTGCAGTCACGAGACGCTATAAGTCATCCGCGCGATAGGGGACTTGTTGCGTGAGCGGGCACCGAGGATCCGCGGCGCTCGAAAATCTTTCGGTGTTCGCGCGAGATAAAATATTACGGACCTCAGAGGCTGCGTGCGTTGCTCCGATATACAGGAGATTACAAAATTATCGGGATTGCTTTCATCCGTGGATTATTTAGGTATCCCAAAGTCGATCTTCTCATAACAAAATAATCAAAGTATCAATAGCGTTTAAAGTATAACCGATTGAAGGTGATAGAGCTATTCTCGCGTAATAATAAGCTGGCGCCTCGTGATATTTTTGCAGAGCTGCTACAAAAATGACTGGAATAAATCGCTTATATGAATTATTTTTCTTCTGAAAATTTATATTCTTATGGTAATTAATTATTAAATTAGTCAATGACAAAAATATCATAAAATGAATATCGAGTTGTTCAGCTAAAAAATTATTTTTATCTAATAGCGAAACGTCGACGAAAAGTATATATAAAATGATTAATAATTGATAAAGAATTAGTAAATTAATCAAACTTTCGTAAAATGTTTGTGCATTTACTTCGTGCTGAGCGCGCTACACTATCGGGGTTTGTTAGGAAACGCCGCAGCGCAATTCCTTGCGCAAGTAGATACACTTGTGCACGCTAAATCAGCCAAATTGCTCGCTATTCTCCACTGCGTCGTCTCAGACGTCCGACAGATTACTCCACGAACGGAGTCGACGAAATTTCTCTCCGGCTCTCCCGGGCTCGCCGATGCCCGGAGCCTGCTGAGTGCAACGGGTCCCGGGCGGTGCGGTATCCAATGGGGAGGGTCGTCGATTTTCGTCGCCGTTCGTCGGAAGGAAGCTTTGTCATCTCCGCTACGAGATCCCCCTCTCCCGTGCCGCACGTCGGTCCGGAGTGCGCACCGAAGTCCCCGATATCCTATCTCCCGGTCATTGTATGCAAATCCGTTCCATTCGTGGAATCGAATTGGCCTTTTTCTGATGTCTGACGCGATAGCCGCGAGAACGATCGTCCGAGAACGGTATATCCGGACGTTTCGCGACCGCGGGGCTTCCACGACGAGCGGCGCGTCGCGACGCGAAAACATCGCGCGTGCGTCGGCTGGGAAACTCAAGGGACACCGTTTATTCTCCAGCTTTAAATTTGACGTATTGCGCACCAAGAGAATAGACTCACTCGACATGCATAATTAAGCCTATTGTCTTTTTCTCTCTCTCCACGCTCCCTTTTGTCACGCTTTTATGCACGAGCATTTATATTACATCGTATTATATTTACATCACGAGCAAACCTCGTTTTTGTCTGACGAAAAAAATATTTTCCTCTTTTCCTCGTAAATTTTAATATTATTACGATACCGAATTTATGAAATGAAAACATTGCTTCTAATCAATGCATACGCAATTATTAGTATGATTATCTAAACACGATTGGATTGTATTAAAAAAATAGAACATAGTAGATCGTAAAATATATAAAAAAAAGTCTGCTGGATTTAAACTTACATCTTTATCTGAGACTTTACGATCGATTTGTTTCGCGATGCATTTGAAGATCGCGTTTTTATCTTTCTCAGCGTGGTTCACGATTTTATCTGTTTACGGAAGCGAGTTCATGATCTATCGGTCGATATAAGAACGGATGTTGCATAAAATCGCGAGCGTAACCGTATAGCGAACGTGGAAACGCGTCTCCCGCTTGGCTGTAAAAGGTTTATCGTTGTACATGCGGCGGAAACGGGTTAGCGGATGGCATGTACGCTCAATCGAGTGTCGCCATAACGAAACAGAATGCAAATTGCGGCTTGCATATAGACGTGTATACTCACTTTTCCTTCTCGCTGGCTTCCGGCAGTAAAAACTTGACGGCGACGAGTCGCTTGCCGAGGGTGGTAGTCGTTCCGTACTCTGGGATTCCTTCAGCTTCCGCCACGTATACCTATACATGTAATTTGTTTGAATTGTGCTATGTATATGCGTAGAAACTATTATGACCGGAGTACATTCGGCAGAAACAACCGAAATTTCGTAATTTCTCGTAATTTTGACGAGCTCCGTCATACGTGATTTTGTACAAGCAGACTTTCTACGAACTCACCACTTTATATTTTCCGCGATTGTATCAGTTATAATAATAATTTACAATTTTACAATTTGATTTCTGTTTGGCTTCTCAACTATGCAATAAAGTAGATTATGCTGAAAACATTTTTTTTCAACATTAAAGTACCAAATGAAGAAAAAATGTGGTAAATATTTAGGCAACTAACTCATATTTAGACAACAAACTCTGCAGTTTTAAAACTTATTTTTTAATATGCTATTTAAAAAAAATGCACGGAAGTGCCAATTGAAGAGAAAATGTGGTAAATATTTAGACAACAAACTCTGCAGTTTTAAAACTTATTTTTTAATATGCTATTTAAAAAAAGAAATGCACGAAAGTTTTTATAGTGGAACAAAATTGAATTAAGTTACGAAATTGACATAATTTTTTCTCACATAATTATCCAAGAATGATCTGCTTCTGCAATTTTATTTTTCCTTTGCTTGAAAATGATACGGAATAAGGAAATGTATTCTTTTCATTAACCGGCGGTACGTAAAAATACATTCCGTCAGAGAACCATCTTCGGATGCTAGTAATTCTAGCTGCGGGCCTCGAGCGGAAGCGAAGAATAATCGACCATCGTATGCGTCACGTAACGCACCACGGCTGCATCCTTCCGCGATATTGTGCGTAAGGGATTCTCCGGCGATTTTCCGGCGATCTCGTGCGAAGCTATTGATTTCGCACCGAGTCGAGATCAACGTGTCCGATCTTGCGAGCTCGTAGGAAGTCCGCACGACCGCGCGTGCATGCGGATGCATCCTGCCGCGCGGCGTACACACCCGCCCGCGGACGCCTGACGCGGCAACTGGCGAATTGTGCGCGAAACGAACGTACGTTCTGACGATCCTCCTCGCCCGTCGTCGTCATTAACGGCGCGTCCGTCGTGCCTGGCGTGGGAAACAAAAGGGAATTATTAGCCGCTCTAACGCATCCTAAACTGATTATCCTCGACGACCCCGACGAGGCGACATTGTGCCGGCGAAGAATAACGCGTCCCCGGCACTTCGTTAATCGACGTATTGTTGCGCATCCGGCGCACGCTGAATTAACTGTGCGCGCCGTGCGGCCAACAAACGGATTGATTTCGCGATCGTCGACGTGACGGCGTGGAGGCGCAACGCCGTGAATTCACGTGAAATAGTCCGCCCGCGTCCGAACTTGTTTCACTCGGCATGTAAATGCAATCGTGGTGGCAAGAGTTGATAAATTAATTGTTGTAACAGCGTTGGAAATTCTCTTGTTACATTACACTGGAGTAATTTCATGTTCCTTAAAATGAAAATGGTAGAATGGTAGAATATCGCTCAGCGATAAACTTTGATGAATTGTTAATTATATTTTGCTGATTTCCTCGCGTAATTCTTAAAGAGCGAATTCGAATACGATAATAATGCAACAAACGCGCAAATTATGCGTAAAATTATTCCCGCAAGTTCCCGAAGCTATCGTTGGCGATTATCTGCAATTGATTAACAAACGCGTTTATTCATTCGCTTCCACGTCTGTAATTGGAAAAATATATTTATTACATTCGCGGGTGTAATAGCAGTGCCATTACCGTTCCGAAGGCTCCTTCGGCGAGCTTAGAGAGCATACGAAGGCGATGCCGTGGGAAGAGCGGTACGCTGGTCTGCTCCAGACGTTTCTTCAGGGCCGAGAGTACCTCCTGTTGAGTCGGCGACTGCAACACGAAAGCGCAAATGTATTGTGCGGATTATCCGACGATAATCAACGATCTATGATCACGCTAGTCGCGCCGGGGTGCATCATGGGTATCGCTCGATCTACGGCCGTCATTCGTACGAATAGCCTATCCTCCCCCTTCGATTCTCGCGCCCGCATCTGCGGATTCCCGAGTGCACGAGAGAGCGCATGGAGAACTGTAGCACGACTTACAAGTGTTCCGCCGGTCGTGAACTATTCTATTGTCGATTGGTCGGTAAAAGCCGACTCGTAGAATGTTAGACAGGACGTGATATATCTCGTGCTATTTTCATCGAGAGAACATTCTCGGCTTATGAAACTATACCTTGCATAAAAAATTACGGAACTTTGCGATAACGCTTTTGGATGATAGGACGATAGAAGGCAGGAAGAAAAATATACTGTCGAATTATTTATATTATCTACGGACATTTTAAAGACTAAAAGTACATGTAATACAGCACGTCTTACAAGTGTACGATTGATCGCGTCGTACGCCACTCTACGAATCCACTGGTGAAAAGCCAAGGATTTTGCATAGAGGGCGATCAATTAATATACAATACACACTCGCGATTTTCATTCGGAGGAGCGTGGACGAAAGTCGTTCTGTAACTTGACGTTCTCATAAGTGAGAGTGACATGAAAAGAAATATTGTCGTACGGATATTCGCCGGATAATCCACGTTTTATGGATAACAGTGAATCCGCCGAGAAGGATGATTGGCGTCGCTACGAAGCGTCAAGGCCAGACTCGGCGCGACACGGGGTGAAATGTTTTGACTGTTTCGAGTGGCGCTGTCGGATGTCAATCACGCGCAGACGTCTCGACGTAGACACAGGGCACTTTCGGTTCCGGAGCGTCCCGTTCGGAGCATTGTGCGCGGATCAATCTCGATTCACGTCGCGGAAACCGTATACACAAACCGCGATACCAGATGTGTCTATCCGCGGGACACATGTGTACCCCGGCGCGGAGAAAGGACTCACTCGACGGTGAAGAAGCTGTTCGCATTCATGGTTGCGAGGGAATCGATCGCGGAATAGAATGGTAAATGTTTATCAAGTATTCTCCCTTATATTTCCCGACACGAACGCGTAGAATCTCAATCTAAGATTGTTGCGGTAAAAACATATGTACAAATATAAGATATTCCGAATGTCTCCCTATCATCCGTTACAATCACTACTTTTTACATTTCGTTCAGCAAAATTCACAGTGAAAATTGTCACAAATTTTTGGAACTCACAAATTTCCGTTGGAAAACACGCGCGTGATATATTTTATTCGACTGTCTCGATTTTTCATGAAAATACGCGTGAATGGACAGATAGTCGCGCGCAATGTTATCCGTAAAATGTGTAATCCGATGTAATCCAAGATCAGCTATTTATTTCCGGCGGAAATGGTTCATCTGTGCGACGCGCATCTCGCGCGCGACATCATTTTACTGTCGCTGTAAAACGTAGGTATGTGAGGCGAGATCCGTCGCGTCGCGCGGCTCTTAAAAAAAGAAATTACCTGCGTCATGAAGTTTCGCATGTACGGGCCGTATAATCTCACCAGGAGACGCGTGACATCCGATACCGGGATGGTTGGCCGTGAAATCAACCCCTATCGCGTAATATTTTTGCGATGTCGGCTGGATGCGTCCCGCACGCTCCGCTTGTAGGCGGAGCGGTTGGAAACGTGATTACACGACGCGCTTTCTCTCCGCAATTAACGGAGCGAACTGGTCCGGAAGCCGCCGGACCGCGTAATGATGATACATTCCATAGGGGTTGCAGCGGCCGGTGTATCCGCGAAAGGGCCCCTGTCGACGCGTCCTGTCGACGGGAGTTCGTTACAGGCTGGCCGACGGCGATCGATCGATCGATTTCGCGGACACCGCGCTGGATTCGCG